GGCCGGGAGCTGCTCGGGTTTCCCACTGTGCATGCTCCGTTGCTTGTAAGGTTTTGTAAGCGCGGTTTGGAGTTTTTAGCTCAAAACGGGCGGTGGCGGTTGGTGGGCTCTGAGCTTCGGTAGGACGTGGTGTGGTGCGTTGTGCGCTGTGACTGGGTAAAGAAGAGAGGTTAGACCCGTAGAGTAGCTTCCCAGTTGCCTGTGTCTGCTATTGACACGTTTTGGTAGGTAAGTAAAGCTGGAATTTTTTTTAAAAGTACTCCCCCAAGTCAGATGTGCCAACGTGTAGAAAAAGCTTTCACCCAGTTAAGAATACTTCAGGTTTCTGTTGATCCAGAGCACAGCTATATTTTTGGTGTTAGAGCTATGTCTGTGTAATGGTGCAGTTGATCTTTTTCGTGGTTGCTGTTGAGTTACCGGTGTAGGAGCAGCTGCCTAAACAGTTTGCAAGAAGCTAGGTGTGTCTAGATGAATCTCCTGATGTCAGTTTCCTGTGTTTCTTTGATGAAGTTTGCTTCCCATCTGACCCAGTGTTTAGAAAGTAGTTACTTACAAGTTCCTTTCTAGGATTGTATGTGTATATGCTATAGTCAGATATTTATTGTACCAATGTATTGCCGTTTTGCAGGTGAATACTGCTGCATGTGCTGTTAGAACTTATGAAACAGCTGTTGTGCGTGTGGTGAGAAGAGTTAAGCTGCCACTAGTGTCTTTTTGCTTTGTCTTCAAGTATAGGCTTATAAGACGTTGACTTGAAAGGAATACAGCAGCACACTTCAGGCAAAAGATTGTTTTTAGGTGCAGTTAATATTTCATTTTTTATTAATGATTAACCAAATGTTCTTTTGCAGCCTCACAAGAAAAAGAAACCATTCATAGAGAAGAAGAAAGCAGTGACATTTCACTTAGTGCACAGAAGTCAGAGGGATCCACTTGCTGCTGATGATACTGCGCCCCAGAGAGTTCTGCTGCCTACACACAAAGTAAATACTGGCTTTTGATACTGAGGTTCATTCAGATAAGAAATGCTGCAGGAGAGAAAAGTGGGTATGCAACCATACAATGCAAAAACATGGCCACAAAGAAGGTACTTTTTAGTCCAGCTTATTAAAAAGAAAGGGGTGTTGTAGGAAATTTGATAGTTGTGAGTTACTCCCTGATGGGCTGAAGGATGACTAGCTGGCTTTAGGGATATGAACGCTTTAAAAAAACAACAGCAAAGACTGCCTGACCCACCCTGAAAGAACAGGTTTTGTTAGTTATGCTGCTTATGGAAAAAGATGTTGAAGGTTCTGCTCAGACAGCGCCTGAGGATGCTGAACCAGATGGTTACAACGTTCTAATTGGCTGTGCGTTAGGGTAACGAGTGGAGAGAGGACTACGAGGACTTTAGAATTCAGGCATTCTCAGCAGAGGTGTTGCTTTTGTTTTTGCTAGTAAGTTTTAAATGGACTTAAGTAACTACATCTGTTTCTTCTTACAATTCCAAGGGGCACGAGGAGCAAAGGAGGGAAGAGCAGCGGAAGTATGGAGTCTTCTTTGATGATGACTATGACTATTTGCAGCATCTGAAAGAAGCCTCTGGTCCCTCTGAGCTTGTCCCTTCTGTGCGTGGACCGCAAAGCAGAATTGTTGTCACAAATGAGGGGCACATAGAAGACGAAATTCAGCGAGTTCCAGTAAGTAGTAGTTTTGCTAATAATAATTTTACGCTGTTCTTTGGAGCTTAGCGTCCTGGAGACACATTAACCGTATTCAACCAGTGTTATCACAATTGTGATCTCTCCCTATATGTGTAGGATCCTTTTAAGCCACAATCAGAGTTTTCTGCAAGTGAAAACAGAAGTTGACAAACCAAAGTTTATTGATGAACAGTGTTTTGCTAGCAGTGTTAAAACACTTTGTGTACCCATGACAAGCTTTTCTTGACAGAGATGGCTTACCAAAGGTATTTGTTTGAACAAGTCATGTGTTTCTCTGGGGTTAGCATTTGTTTTTAAAATTTTGAGAGATTTTGAATGCTCTGGGAGTTATGAATGCATCAGGTTGTATTACCAGTACACCATGTTTGTAAAGTGGAATGTAACAGAACCCAGAGGGAATAAAGCCAAACTTTTTAATTGCTGGTGTACCTTGTGGAATTTTGTGATGCTAGATCATGTCGGAATGGAAAATCGGTAAGTACTTTCAGGCAATGAAGTATGCAATTACCAGTCAGTCACTTTTAATTGAGGCAGTTTGGCTTAACCAAATACTGTAATTTTAGTCAAAACCGCTGTTCTTAGTCAGAAATACCTTTCAGGTACAGTTTGGTGATACTGCATAAGATTTAAAGTTATTTCAGATGTGCATGTTAGTAAGCTTTTAATAAGCCTTTCAGTAAGGGGCTAATTTGAAATGTATGTCAGTGTTCTCCAAAACAAACAAAAAACCCACCAAATTTCATTGTGCCTGCTGTACTGCCATTCTCTGCAAAGCTTCAGAGATGCAAAAATACTGTCTTTATACCTGGAGAATGTTGACATGAGAATTAATGCTTCCAACATTTTACCTAGCTTTCATTGCATAACTTTGAAAATTTGCAACCGATAACATAGCGCTTGTCTTAATATTTAAGTAGCACTCACAGTGTTTCATTTGGTCACATGATTATCTATTTTTGTCAATGTGAGCTCAAATGAGAAACTGGGAACAGGTGTATTTTGGTGATGTGTTTTTGTTTCTTTTTTCTAAGGCTCCATCTATTAAGTTGCCTTCCTCAGTATTTGCCACAGAGTTTGAAGAGGATGTGGGCTTGTTAAATAAAGCTGCTCCTGTTTCAGGTATTATTAACTCTTTTACCTTTCTCTAACATGAGTTGCCATCTAGGTACTAGATGGTAATTATGGCTTCAATTACAGTGTCGTATTAATTCTGGTTTAGAACAGGCTCAATAGCAGATGTAAAGAATGGTCTATGAGAGACCTGTGTTTCAATTTGAGGCCTGTTTTCTGTGATTCACTAATAACAGCTTTTTAGCATTGCTGGGGAGGGGGTGGAATCCATGAGCTCTTACTATTGTGTGGGAAATGTAACTAATAACAGAGGAAAGCTGTAGGTAATGCTATAGATTTAGTACTCCGGGCATTTGAATCCAAGTCAGGAACTGGATTTTCACTTTCAGAATTTCTTTTCAAATGCAGAGTGGTGTTTACTTTCCTTCATTAGTATTATTTCAGCGCTACAGGCTGTAGGTATGCTTTTGTTATGTATCCATGCTTGCACCGAACTTGCACTTGGCAGCTGTCTTAATATTTTATAACAGGAATTAATTGTGGTAGTTCTCCCTGTCCTGACGGAAGGATGCCCACTTCAGTCAGTTGCAGTAGAGAAACACTTTCTGACCTTTTGTAATGTAGGGAACTGTACAGGGTGTGAGCTAGGGTTGGTTGATATACAGTACTCTGACCTGGATATCTTTTCTTCTGCAATATTCTAAGTAAAATATATTAAAATACATTCCCCAGAGGTCTTACACTTCCAAAAATACTCTCTTCTGGATGAGGGGAATTGACGAGATGCTGGTGACTTGCCCTGGCTTGTATCAAATCTACAAATATTATTGAGGAATTTTGTGATTCTTAGGTTTAATCTTTCCTTAGTGCAGATTAGCAGTATAGTTGGATAGGTTTTGATCCAGCAGAGTAGCTTTGTAATATGAGAGAAACTTACATATTTATGTTGTGCTTTTTGTTTTTGTGTTCTTTTAACTTTCTAGGACCACGGCTAGATTTTGACCCTGATATTGTTGCAGCTCTTGATGACGATTTTGACTTTGACAATGCAGAAAATACTCTGGAAGATGATTTTGTTCTACAAGCAAATGAGCTGCAGAAAGGGTACATAGAGCTTTGTAGAGCTGTTTGTCCTGTGTAAATAGGAATGATGCTATTTTGTTATTTCATATGGTGGTGGTGTAGGAAGCAAGAATGGTTTCGGGTTTCAAACTGAGTACTTAGGTGCATTAAAGGAAAAAAGTATTACCTTGTGTTATGCGGGTGGTAGCTTACAAAATCAAATTTTCATGTGTTATCCAAGAGATGGGTTTCATTTGTTACTTCGAGCTCATGGATTATATGTATTTGTTTACACATGCAATGTATGGAATAATGGGATTCTGGAACTATTTAAAACGTTATCATGTATCACATTTAAAATACATCAGTAATGATACTGATGAAAGCTAATGGGTATTTCCAGAACCTTTAGAAATGCTTTATGTGATACCCAACTGCATATTATTTCTTTAGGTTTTGGTATCATTCTCATCATTTTATGAACAGTGAGAAATTTTGCTAGTTTTAACATTCAGGAATGCAGCTAGTATTTTTCTTTTTCCACTTTGACATGTGTAGCTGATTGTAAACATAACCTCACTCTCAATGCACAGATACTTGACCCAACAGTTATCAGAAATGTTTTCAGCTTTCAGACAAAAGTAGTATTATGCTGATTTTGGCAACACTGTTACTGCTAAACTTTCTTTTACTGGCTTGAAAATAATCACTTTTTGTCTCTGCCTCTCAAGATTTTAATCTGCTTAATTGCCAGATTGTTTCAGATAACCCAACACTGGTCAGAGCCATGGAAAGGTCCGTGTATTATCCTAAAACTGTTTTATACTTCAGGCGATCAGATGCTGAGGATGAAGATGAATGGGAGGATGTGGAGAAAGATAGTGATGAAAAGGATAGTTGCAGTAATGATGAAGAGTATGATTCAGAAGGCCCTTTATCAGATGATGGGGTTAATGGACAGACAAAAGAATTTCTTTTTATGCAAGAAGAAACCAGGAGTCGTTTCACAGAATATTCGATGACATCTTCGGTAATCAGGAGGAATGAACAGTTAACCCTGTTGGATGACAGATTTGAGAAGGTGAGGCAGCTCAAGAATGTGACGTAAGGGTGTGAAATGCTTCTTTGTCTTTGGATTCATCTCGTGAGGTGGTGTCCTGTATCCCTGTGCAAATTCTTCCGGCCTTCAGTAGTCAGGGCATCACACAGCTGTTCTCTGCGCATATTCCACATTTAATATTGTGTGTGCTAAGAGGCTTGTGTTAAATAGTTATAATGTTAATTGCTATTAAAAGACCTAACACTGATACAATTAAACATAATTATTCCAATCACTATAATGAGCGATCATAGTTGGTGTTACGCTTCTGTCTGAGAGGCTCAGCTGAACACAGCAAATCATGTAGAAGTGCCTGGTGAAGACTCACTTGTTTCTCCCTTCCTCCCCACTGTGCTAAGTGTACGTTCATCAGATGGTGTCAGAGCAGTGGAAATACGGTGTGACTTCTGTCCTGAGCAGCGACAGGCTTTTTAATGTACAGGTTGAAATAAAGCATCAGAATAAGAAACATTTTCTGAAAGCTGATTTAAATATTATGAAAAGATAACTTTGTGACTCCCCTGCTGAAAGAATACTGACAGTAAGGAGAAAATCCTGCTGCAGATGTGTGTGGCAGTCATTCAGCAAATGAGACGGGAGAGGAAAAAGGGGCAAATAGAAAGAAATGTGTAGATCTTCTTTAAGCTATCAAGAAGTTGCACAACAAATGCAATGTAATTACAGATACCCACTTCTTTATTTTAGTTTTTTGAACAATTTGATGAAGATGAAATTGGAGCCTTGGATAATGTGGAGTTAGAAGGCTATATTAACACAGACAGTGCTCGGCTGCAGGAAGTCCTGAATGACTACTACAAAGAGAAAGCAAAGAAGTACGTATTCCCAGAAGTACTGCTCCACATAAGTTGTTACATAATCTTGTGTTTGTATTGAAAGTCTGGGTATGTTGTTTCCAGTTCATGTAGTGGAAGATTACATCCCACAATAAAAGCAGCTATGTATGAGTATTACCCATTTTTTTTTTCTCTCACTGAATGTCAATCTTCACTTACAAGATGATAAAATTAAGTGGAGGCATGTTGTTGGTTTATGTGAGATTATGCTCCTTTTGTATATTTGTAGTGAATTTAGTGTAAGTAATATCTAGTGGCATTCTTCCTTTCCCTTTTTAGTGTAACCTACCTTTCTGCTTATGCCTTTACTTTTGGTTTTAACATGACAATAAACTCGCAGGCGACTGTTGCATGGGTACCACTGTTTGGAGCACTGAAAAAATCAGTGCTTATAAAGCAACCCCATTTCAATATAAGACTGCCTTTCCACAGTATGTTCCCTTTGTCTTAAAGCAGGTGATACTATCCCAAAGTTAAATGGCTAAATGTTCTCACATTAGCTGTGTGTTTCCTGACTAGAAAGATATGGTAGTGTGCCCTTGTAGGGCAAGATGACTGGTCCGTAGCGGGATACATCATAACGCTGCCTTGCTTACAAATTGAAAAATATACCTTCTTCTCTTCCTGTCTTCCAATCACAAATATTCTGTGCCACGTAATTTTGAAATGCAGAAATACTTCTTTTGTTGACTGTGTCTCTTGTCCTAATGTTTTGGTTTATTTGGGGGTTGCTTACTTAAGGAAACTTGGTTTTGCTGTAAGTTTCATTAGGAATAGCTTTCCTTGGTTTGGGGTTTTACTGAGGGGAGACTGGGTTTATGTAATACATGTTTTCAAGAAAAGATAAAGCGTATTTTTTTTCTTCTCTGGACTTCTTCAAAGTTGTGTGAAACTGGATGCTCTTGAACCCTGTGAAGATTTAAACTCTGCTGTGAATGAAGAAAGTGAGGAAGAAAAGGAAGAAATAGTAGCTGTAGTTATTGAGGAACCGAAAGAAAAGTGGGATTGTGAATCCATTTTGAGTAGGTATTTTGGAGTTTGCTTGTTTGTTCCTAGGATTTCAAAGTAAATGATAGGCGATCTCAGAACTTTTCCAGCAGTTCTTTAGGTAAAATGGTTTATGCTTCTGGAACACAGCAG